CCCCTGCCGGCTCACGTGCGTGCCGACCCCCTGCGCACCTGGCGCTGGCACAACCTGCTCGTCTCCTTCGCTCACTCCATAGTTTCTGGGGTCTGGGCTCTGCTGTGGTAAGTGACTCGGGGGAGTGAAGGTGGCTAGGGGATCCCAGCGCTGGGAGCTAGGACGGATTTCTCCCACCATTCACGGGTAGACTGAGGCCCAGCAGTCTCGCTTACGTCCCTATTTTGGATTCCTACCTACCCAGGAGCTGCAACGGCCCCCGGGGAGGGGGGGGATCTCACCTGGGAAACCAGAAGCACCTGGGTTTCGGCCAAACCCCTCCTAGCTCCCTAAGCAGCCAATAGCGCGGGAGCGAGTGGGCCCAGACTCCCCCGGGACTGGCAAGAACGATTGGGGAGTAGAGGGTCCTTGGGGGTGCCGAAATGAGAGCCTTCCTTCCCTCCCTTCCAGCATATGGCAGACCCCCGAAATGCTGGTGGAAATTGAGACGGCGTGGTCGCTCTCTGGCTATCTGCTAGTTTGCTTCTCTGCAGGTAGGACTTTTCCAAGAAGCATGAAGTCAGATGGAAGTTTTTCAATTCCATTCATGACCTTTTGCTCCATTCTTGTGCTAGGTTACTTCATCCACGACACAGTAGACATCGTGGTCAGCCATCAGACGGGGGCTTCCTGGGAATACCTTGTGCATCATGTCATGGTGAGAAGCCGTAGCAGGGGTGTAGACCTGATGCTCAGCCCAGTCCGAACCAGGGAGGGAGGTCCTATTAACGTAACCTACTTCTCACCCATCCCATGCCCTTTAACTTGCCTCATCTTAGAAGCTAGTACCTCCTTAAACAGACTGGAAATTCCACTCAGCCTGACCCTGTGGGCAGAGATCAAAGGCTGAATCATGTTCAAAAGTCTCTTATGTATAAACTACATGACAAATGTTATTCCTGGAGGAACAAGAAGTGACCATACACCCACCACCTTCAGAGATTTTTCTGTGGCTCCCTAACCCCCATTCTCTCTTGCCTTCTAGGCCATGGGTGCTTTCTGCTCTGGAATCTTCTGGAGCAGCTTTGTGGGTGGCGGTGTGCTCACACTGCTGGTGGAGGTCAGCAACATCTTCCTCACCATCAGGATGATGATGAAGATTAACAACGCCCAGGACCATCTCCTGTACCGGGTCAACAAGTACATCAACCTGGTCATGTACTTTCTCTTCCGACTGGCCCCACAGGCCTACCTCACCGGTTTCTTCCTGCAGTATGCAGGCCAGAGGAACCTGGGTGGCTTTCTACTGAGCATCCTGCTCATGCTGGACGTGATGATCCTCATCTACTTCTCCCGCCTCCTCCGCTCCGACTTCTGCCCAGAACGGGCCCCCAGCCAGCGGCACAAAGACAAATTCTTGACTGAGTGAGACACAAGACCAGACTCATGGCAAGCCCAGCCGGCACAGCCAAGGAGAGCAGCACCCCCACACTGGGGTGGCCAACCTCTCACTTGGACATCTGCAACCATTGAAAACACTATGAAAGTACTTCCCTGAAGTCTTTTTCTTAAGCAAAGGGTAAGGGAAGCAGCCAGACTGGTTGGACATGGTAAATGGGTGCGGGACAGGTTGTTACAGGAAAGCCAGCTAGCCAACCCACACAACACAACCCTGCATCTGATGCTAACAAACACTTTTGAAATTGTACCCCCACCCACCTCTAAACTGGTTGGCTTGTGTCTCCCAGAGATTTTTTTTTAAAGGGGGGTCATATAAGGTGTCCTGTTCTTTTCCTTCTACAGTCGAACTAATTCAGGCAAGTTCTGGTCTTAAGGCAACCTAAACTGGGTTACAAAACACCAGGAGCTGCTTCAGGTAGTACTATTCCCATAAGGGACGGGGCCAGCAAACGTTTGAGACAGAAGAGCCTATCCTTCACGACCTAAATGATTTATTTGGGAGACAACAAATGAAATCACTATTTTGTCAATAACCTTAATTGAAAAGTTTTCATTTTCAAATTTATTTACATCTTCCATTTTTACCTCAGAGCCACATGGCTCATGCGCTGCAGCTTGCCAACCCCTGCAATCAGGATGACAGTCACACCCAAACCCTGCAACTAGGTGTGTGCTATCACAAGGCTCCCCTCCCAGTCCACTCAGAACACAAGACAAAGACAAGAAGAGTATATCTTGAAAAAGTTTATATTTAGCATTAGCCAGCTGGGCTCACTTTAGATGATTCCAATCTGAAAAAGAAAAGGGAACTTTTTAACCAAGAGCTGCAATGTGAAGTTGAAATCTTAAGGTGAGGGTTGAGAGCTTGTTCTGGATAGGCAGGTGCCATCAGTCAGCCAGGACTCAGCACCACGTGTCGTTATCAGGCTTTGTCACTAGCAGGCATCATCTGCACCCAGGAGGTGGGCACTGAATCTGTTTAAGAGGAAACTTACTTTGTTGGCAACATCTAAAGCGTCATAGTCAGGAGCCAGTCGAACATATGCCTTCTTCTCACCGTCAGGCCTGTGACAGAAGGAAGCCTCAGACCTAGACGGTCAGCACCACCCCCTTCCCATCCTCCTGCCCTGCCCGTCGGCCCTTGGCGCATCAGTGGTTCCTTTGTTCGTGTCATTCTTTTCTCCAAATAGTGATTTTGTTTCCATCATCTGCGCGCGCATAGGGAGGGGGTCGAGAAACAATGCAGGTGACCAGTCGCTTTAGGAGCCAACCCTAGGAAATCCACCTGTTTCTAGAGCCTGCTACCAGCCTGACGCATCTGAGTCTGAGGAGCAGAACACCTGATACTCTCCCCTCTGTTCTCTGCTTTTGCAAACCATGTCAGGATTTCTGGCTCTTCACCATGGCCTGAACCTTCTCCTGATCCCATGGGGCCCCACTCACCTGATCAAGGTGTTGACTTTGGCTACGTCAATGTCATAGAGCTTTTTCACAGCCTGCTTGATCTGGTGTTTGTTGGCTTTGACATCCACAATGAACACAAGTGTGTTGTTATCTTCGATCTTCTTCATGGCAGACTCTGTGGTCAAGGGGAACTTGATGATGGCATAATGGTCCAGC